AGCTCTCGTTAGCCTACATTATCATTCATTCCTCTGGTAAGCATCACACACAGGAGCTTTGAAAGTAGTGGGCACGATCTCTGGGGCGGGCGGTTGTCCGCAATGTCATTGGTGGAAGGAAAGACTGGAATACACCCAGATGCCTCCCCTCGCAACTCTTCCACCACGGACACTAGTCACCTCCGCCCGCCTACTTCTCCCACCTTGGCGCACGGCCGGCCATACGACTAACTGCAGCCAAAACGCCAGCTATCCTCATAGTCTTCTCAATTCTTGTTGTTCTTCACCACTGAGCGCGTGTTTCGCTGCGGGGTCTTGGTATGGACGCAAGCATGCCCATGGACGACACCGCTTGCAGAGTAGACCAGCGTCAGACTTCGCGACGCAGCGCTCGCGGTCGCGCGTTCGACGCGATCAATGCAGTCGAAAGCATGCGCATCGATTGCGTCGAACGCGCGACCGAAGCGCTGCGTTGCGAAGTCTGAACGCTGCCGTATGGAGACGGCACGCGGGTATCACTACCCTCCAGTCCATTTACCTTGCACATTTGAGCGAAGAAAGTGGCTCGCCGATGCAGCTGCGGACAGGTGCCCATTACATGGCACATGGAAATGAGTGTACTTGACGAGTGTACAGTTTGTCTTGAAACCCAGTTTGCAGAAGTGATTATTCGTTCATAAAGTGCCCACCTTGATAATTTTTGCATGTTCCTTCTGCCAGTTGTCAAGGATACGTTGACCGACCTCCGAACCAGTCAGCTCAACAAAGCGCTTGATTCTTTGGCGGACAAAGACCAGATCGTCTTCGTTAGGTTCATCCAAGTCAACAGTTGCCACGTTTATTCGTTGAGTGAATGGATCACCTCTGAAATCGCATGGAATATGTACGGGAGATGCTCGTTACTTCCGAAAGTAATGGCGTGGGCTACAGCTGCCTCTCCCTTCCTCTCAAAGACATGCAAATGCAGCGATTGACCTGACAGGCGCGGCGATGAGGCATTTTGTTGCCGAGCTTGCTTTTAGGAAGTAACAATACACACCTGGATATGAGCAGAAAGAGGGTGTTATAAAGGTCATCCGAATTACGACATCCTGCGTAAACTGTCAGAGCATTTCCTAGCTGACTCGAAACATTGCACCGTTTTCACGATAAAGCAAAAGCAATTGAGAGCTGGTGCGAATGCCGCGCACGTGACGTCATTGGCAACGTCTACCTCGCCGCTAGCGCCGCAACTCAGATGAACTTAGTAACACAGCAGAATGCAAAACTGACTGGTTGAAGAGGAAAGCGATTCCACCGCTCATTGCAGCAGCGAAGTTCCGTCCAATTGTTCCCAGGATGATGACGCGGCCTCCAGTCATATATTCGCAGGCATGATCTCCTACCGCTTCAACCACGGCTATTGAACCAGAATTTCTGACGGCAAAACGCTCTCCAGCTACTCCACGCAGCCAACATTCACCTTAAAATGTGAATTTTTGGAAATGGGATCCTATATTTAAGTTTCTGTTCACAACAGGATCTACCCTACGAGAGTTATTGCCAGCAATGATGTACCGAATTCAAAGGTAGTGGGTACGATTGCTGGGGGCGCGCGCGTGCCAGCGTCATTGGTGGAAGGGCTGTGAGGGAGCGTTTAGCCACCCCCACTCAGCCCTTCCACCAATGACACGGTCGACAACCGCCCGCCCCAGCGATCTTCGCCCAGTGCCTTCGAGCCAAGAATACTAACCTGAAGTGGCACCGTATAGCGCGACATTACCAATAATCGAATTCTCCTCGGATTTATATTGTGCACATTTCGGTGGATAGACGATGACAGTTCCACCGGAGAGACACTAAAATGGAGGGTCCAGTGAGAGTTGAACGGCTCTATAACTCGAACAGGTTTACCAGTAACCCACCTTTCCAACGTAGTCGTTAGCGTCGCCTTCAAGTTCAACCGTGACACCTTTGGTGAGGAAAGCACAGAATGACTGTCCTGCGGAGCCTTGAAGGGATATTCTGATCGATCTTGGTTCTTCAAGTCCATCTTCACCAAAGCGTTTCGAGATCTGCAAAACAACAAAGTAGAATAAGGTGCAGGAAGCTGAGTTGTGTGACAAGACAACCGCGCCCGCCGTGGCAAGCGATTTCGCGCACTGTAGAGACGAGCTACCCCGCTTACTCGAATTCGAATGTTAAAGGGTAGAAATGGTCGATATCTTGTCTCGCCGCAGATGTGCCACGCGCGACAGCGTGGCGAATTACGATTATCTGTCGTCACCTCGGCAGGGACAACGAGTATCTGTGGTTGGTTGTGACATAAAAGCACCAATCACAGACATTCTTTATCCTATATCGAACGCGCTGAACGGGTATTCAGGCTAACAATTCAGGGTAGCTAAGAAAAGGATGGCAGACCTCGTAACTAATTCTGGTGCCGAACGCTCGGTCTAAGTTTGTGATGGTTTTGCCAGAAATCTCCAAATGCTCGCCGGGATCATCCAGCACCCGATGCAGATCTTTCAAAATTTCCTGCTCGAGTTCACCCAGTTCGATTATCTGAAATATCTTTTGGCAATCTGTTGGCAATAACGTGGGCTAGCTAGTAAATATTTAAATCGAAAGCAGTGGGTGTGGTGGCTAGGAGTTGAAGCAGAACGCCAGGCGTCATTGGTGGAAAGGCGGGGAAAAGGCATCCAGGTATATCTTCCAACGCACAGACAGTAGGCACTTCCACCAATGGAGCTTGAGCTTCCAGTCCGCCCCCTAACCATCTCGCTCACTGCTTCAAGAGAACCAATAACTAAAAAAAACGTAGTGGAACGCACCTGTTTCACTGTTCCTCCTTTCGTAGAAACATGCGGGTACATATGGTGGACATTCTTCAAAATTGAGCCAAATTCAAGGAGCGTTGCCTGAAAAAAAAGATGTGATGAGTATTGCTTTACAGGTATAGAGCCTACATAGCGCGCTTTCTGTGGCCCTTCTACCTCATACCACCCACGCTTCCCAGTCGTTTACACTCTCGGTCACTTCGTGAGAGCCGACGAGGATTTTTCTGTTTTGGAATCAACAAAAAATTCCTCACTTTCTTGTTCACAGGATTTGGACTCGCATAGAGAAGGTCAGTTCGTCCAATGGCATCGTCAAGTTTTCGAAGACCGAGCCTTGCAAGGAAATACCGTACTTCTTCGGCTACCATAAACATGAAATTCACCACATGTTCTGGTTTACCTTCGAACAGGGCACGTAGAACAGGATCCTGAAAGATAACACCCGCAAATCAAATGTGTATGAAGTAACCACTTACAAATTACTAATCACTACTCATACAAGTTTCTATGAATTCCAGACAAACAAGCAGCTCAAAAGCTTATTCCGAATTCGTCCTATGGGCTTACCGGAACCATTGCACTTTCCTAGCCTCCTCCTAACCACGCCTGAATGAAGAGCCCCACTAATGAAGAAGGCCCAATGGTTCCCAGTCTCCGCTTCCCCCCCCCCATGGAATGCTTCTTTCAGCATTACTAGTAAAACGTACCTGAGTTGCAATACCGACGGGGCATGTATTCAGATGGCATTTCCTCATCATTGTACAGCCAAGCACGATCAGTGGTGCAGTGGACATGCCGAATTCGTCCGCACCCAACAAAGCTGCTATCATCACATCACGGCCTGTTGAATTGAAAATTCATTTTTCAGCACTGGCGAAGTAATTCTTACTCTAAGCCATATTCTGATCAGAACGAGCTCCTTACCAGTTCGGATTTGTCCATCAGCCTGAATAATTACTCTACTCCTGAGATTGTTCATAGTTAGCACCTGATGAGTTTCGGCAACACCAAGTTCCCAAGGTAGGCCAGCGTGCTTGATACCGGTCCAACTGAAAGGTCATGATGACAATTACTAGCAATTATTTGTAGCCTCAGTCCAGTAAGTTTTTCTGTAATCGTATAGAAACTGAAGATAAACCGACGGATCGGACCAAAAGCGTCACTAGGAAAGGGCGGCCTCTCTATGCCCCACTAGTTCTTCATGTCTACAAGCCGTAAGCACAGTCCATTCTGATAAAGTAGGCGGAGCGAGGCGTACGGCTATATCTTCTCCTTTGGCACGCCTCATTCCGGGCAGCAGAAAGGAGTGCCGCACCAATGAGCAAGGATCAGCTGTCCCTGCCTGTGTCCACCCAGATGGCCAGCGTGGACTGTGCTTTGAACCCCTGGCGGAAGGTGAAGTCAAAGGCAAGTGGCACGATAAATCGACAAAGCGTAGAGGTTGATACGCCTAGCTCGGAAGCATATTATGCCCCTTAGCAAGAGCTGCGCCGCGCCTTTCCCAGCCAAGGGCACAGTTAAACTGCCTAACCAAATTGCAACATGACAACTGGACGCCCACCGCAACAGCCCGCCCAAAAATGGCCGAGTCACATCGACGCTGGTACTCTTATCGCTTCATTTATGAAGTACAATTGATATGAAGCGTTGCTGCATGGATATATGAATACATACGTGCAGCCGTATCTATCAAAGCGGTTGTTGGCACCTCAACGGGAAACTCGTCCAAAAATGCTCGTCCAATGCCGTGCAGAACAAAGATTTTTCGCAGGTTTTTGGCCATTGAACTTTGCTTTTCGTCATTTTCCCCACTATATAGCACCCCTGCTACTATTTTTGAGCAAGTACCTTATCATCATGGCTTATGCGTTTATCCATTTAGCAATACAATTTTCCCCCTAACGGTTAGTTTTAGAGGATAAGTTCGACCAACCTCGAGGCTCCAGTACCGCCATCATGTCCCGAGATTGTGAGATGGTCGGCGTAACCTTTCACAACACCTGATGCGATAATACCAACACCTGCTTCAGAAACAAGTTTCACACTAACACGTGCCTCAGGATTGGCACATTTGAGATCGTAGATCAATTGAGCGAGATCCTCAATGGAATAGATATCGTGATGGGGTGGCGGTGAGATCAATCCAACACCCGGTGTCGATTTACGCGTATCAGCAATATCCTTTGTCACTTTATGACCAGGTAATTCACCACCTTCACCAGGTTTTGCACCTAAAAATGAGCTATACTTTACATTTACATACAAATGATTCCACTCCTCCACTCACTAACACGACAGCGCGTGTGATGGGTGGAGGGGTTGGATCGCAGCCAGGGTAACCTTTCCGGTCAATTGTCTTGAACTCGTAATGGGTTCATTAATGGAAAGAGACGCCTTGGCTGCGTTTCAGTTCAGCCCCATCGCTCGCCCTATCGTTTGCATGGATCATGAGTGTTGGTAGCGAGCGCGTCTAGGTGGTTCTACGTGTGCAACGTGACGCGTAAGAACCGCTCTTACATTCCTTATCCCTGAGCCAGAGTAGGCGTGGCATTTGAACATGGCACGGAATTGGTTACTCGTGGAATATTCCAGTCTGGGACAACTGTCATCTTGTTCTCTGGACAGAGACACGACAACAATTGTGTCAAGATGAAAATATCTCACCAGAAGCATAGACACCTTCAGGTTAAGTTGAAGCATGCGGCCACGCCTACCCGATCTGGTCCGCCTCCCGCAAATCTGCCCACTCCCTTCAAGGTGGAAAAACACTGTAGAGTGGGGATGGGACTCTGCAGTTTTTTCCCCACCTTTCTAAGAAACGGGCACAGTGTGT